TTGGGGGATCCAGTGGGGGCGGCAGTCATATTTCAGGGTGACCGTGCCACTCTTTATCACAACCCTGCTAAAAGTGCCAGTACGTGCGCTCATTGGCGCCCCTTCAGCTGGTGGCGCCCTAGGCGACCGCCTAGCTCGCCTATGCCTAGAAACGACCCTGCCTGTAAGCTCACATTCATCTGCCTCTACTTTTGCAACACCCACATCTCAAAATCCAATCAACAACCGATGCATAGAAGTTTTCCTACATTTTTTCAATAATCTGTTACTCTCAGAGGAAAATATATTTTTCTGTTTGTTTAATCATGACTTTAAATGGATAGTTCACCAAAAAATGAAAATTCTGTCATCATTTACTCACCCTGAAGTTGTTCCAAACCTGTATGAAATTCTTTCTTCTGCTGTACAAAAAAATAAGATATTTTGAAGAATGTGGGTAACCAGACAGTTGACGGTAACATTGACTGACATAGCATGAAAAAAAAATACTATGGAAGTCAATGGCTACCCTTAACTGTTTCAGGGTGAGTAAATGATAACAGAATTTTCATTTTTGGGTGCACTATCCCTTTAAGGTTACATATCACTATTCTAAGGTACTAATATGCATCTTTTAGGGGTAGATTAGGTACAAAGTTGTCCTTGGGTACTGCCACAGTAACAAGTTATTGTATCCCTAAAGGTAGAATTTTATGATTTTTTTTTTTTTTTCTATGACAGATTATTCTAGGGAGATGTCCCCAGCCTTTTTTCTGGTTCTTTGTCATTTGGAATTTACTTTTTAAGCTATGTATTATTAATTATATTTAGGCACATATTTAGTCCTCATGTAGAGACCTGGGGCAAGTTCAAGCTCAAACCGGTGTGCACCGTTTTGCTACGGTTTCCAGTTTGAACGACATGTTTCCTGGAAACGGTGTGCAACGGGGTTTGAGATGCGTTTTCTCTTGTTTGGTGGGGCACCGTTTTTGTTGGGGCTGAACGCAGCCCTGTTCTGGTGTACAACTGGGAATGTTGTCCCAGGCACTGTGATGAAGAGGGCCCACTGAGGTCCTTTATAGTATAGCCTACTCTTTGAGCCTGGTGGAGAAGGATAAATGTATTCTAATATTGTAGAATACATTTAAAATATAAATAGGTATATGATGCCTGAAAAATAAACGGATAATGAGAAGATGCTACTATTTTGACTATTTGGATTTGTGGTGAAGTACATTTCATGAATTGAATAATATATATAAAGAGAAAGTGTCAAATCTGATACGCTAGATAGAATGTGTATCATCCCATGACAGTTTAATGAACCAATGAACACCAGCATGATTATTGTATAATATTGTCATGTTGTAGCTTACTACAAATCATTTGCATTTTTTCTTAGAATTAATAATTTTTTTGGTTTTCAGACACAAGCAAAGAATATTCTTCTTAAAAAAAGTACAAACACAATATGTGACCCTGGACCACAAAACCAGTCATAAGGGTCAATTTTTCGAAACTGAGATTTATACATCACTGAATAAATAAGCTTTCCATTGATGTATGGTTTGTTGTGATAGGATAATATTTGGCCGAGATACAACTATTTGAAAATCTGGAATCTGAGGGTGCAAAAAAATCAAAATTTTGAGAAAATTGCCTTTAAAGTTGTCCAAATGAAGTCCTTAGCAATGCATATTACTAATCAAAAATTAAGTTTTAATATATTTACAGTAGGAAATTTACAAAATATCTTCATGGAACATGATCTTTACTTAATATCCTAATGATTTTTGGCATAAAAGAAAAATCAATAATTTTGACCCATACAATGTATTTTTGGCTATAGCTACAAATATACCCCAGCAACTTAAGACTGGTTTTGTGCTCCAGGGTCACATATATATATTGTGAAAGTGTGATCTCTAGAATCGTTAAACCACTAACACAATATTTCTTAATATTTCACATTCACCATAATTCTGAATTTCATTATTGTCATATTTTTATCCATATTTCAATTTAAATGCTTTTAGTTTACAGATGCAAATAATTAAACTGTAATTTTTGTTCTAAAAATTAAATCATAATTTTTTAAAGGGGTCATATGTTATGGTTTCAAGCTGGTGCATAAAGTTGGTGCATAAAGAAGATCTGTAAAGTTGCAAAGACTAAAGTCTCAAATCCAAAGAGATATTCTTTATAAAAGTTAAGAGTTAATTGTAAAACTGTGTAAAAATCGACGCTTTTCAGAAAGGCGGGGCATAGAGAAGAAACAATAATGTACAGTATGTGGAAAATAATGTGTTTTTTGAACCTTAAACCGCATAAACACATTTCATTACACCAAATACACAAAATAATGTTCTTTTTAGCAACATCATATGACCCCTTTAATAAATGTGAATAATTTTTTATGGCTGTGTAGCGATCCTCATATTCCAGCAATTAAGTAATAATGTTTTCTTTTCTTTATTGTGCACAGTTGCAATAATACATTTTTTATGTCAGCAAACTGTCCATCAAACTGGAAAGACATGATTGTTCTTGTTCAGACAGACACAGGAGTCAAAGTGCATTAACCATACTCCAGTGTCAATGGTGCTATTTGGGGTTAAGTGCTTTGCTCTGGGCCACAGTGATGGTGTAGAGCTGGATGATTCTAGACTTAAATCCATTGCACGCGTGAAGGGGCAGGCAATGTCTACAAACCTCCCCTTACCAATCTCCATTTAAATGAATATATTAAGACATTGCAAGATTTGTAATGCACTGTATATGTAATAAGTTAATGAGAGGAATAGACCATGTGAGCTTTACCCTAAAGACAGTTGGTTAAGGTATCAGAGATGAGAGAAAGACCTTGATGAACTATTAAGGTAAATGGCCTTTAATGGACTTCCCCTGCAAATTTCTGTATTTACTTATGTACCATGTCTTTGACTTACTTCACATTTAGTCTTAAAGGAATAGTTTACCCAAAAATGTCAATTTGTTTAAATTTTAATCAAGCTCAGGCCATCTTAGATGTAGATGAGTTTTCTTCATTAGAAAAGATTTGGAGAAACTGAATTACATCACTTGTTCACCAATGGATACTTTGCAGTGAATGGGTGCCATCAGAATTAGAGTTCAAACAGCTGATAAAAAGATCACAGTAATTCACAAGTAATCCACACGACTACAGTCCATCAATTAATGTCTTGAGAAGTGAAAAGCACTGTGTTTATAAGTAACAAATCCAGCATTAAGAAGATTTAACTTTAAACCATTGCTTCTGGTCAAAATTTAAACCATCCTATGTTGTAATCTCACATCAAAATCCACTGACATATTTGTTTAGAACAGTTTTATACAGTTTTTGCTTGTAAATGGTGCATGATCTGCATATTTCTTTCCTGAGTCAGACAAAATAACTTTTTGGAGTTAAAATCCAATTATTTTCAATGGACCTGTTAATTTATGAATTCAGCTGGATTGGTTGCAGCAGTTAACGACTCACGGATTCAGTATTTCTAGCAAGAGTCAGGCCTGATGATCATCCTGCATAGATATCTTAGACATTATTATTATTATTATTTTTTTTAGTAGATTTGTTTGCCCCCACTCGCTTCATAAGCAAGGTCAAAGGTGAGTCAGAAACGAACATTGTTCTATTAATCATAGCTTTCTGTACCAAACCACTTGCATTCTTACTCTATGAGGATATTGTCATGTCTTGTAATGTCCACTAGAGGACAGTGCTGTAATCTTATGAAACTGCACTCAAACAGTGAAATAATTATTCAAAGTATTCAAATGAATTCAAATTCCTCAAACACTATACCAGACCCACCTTCCTGATAAAATGCTTGTTTTGATGCCTGCAAATGCAGATTTCCCAAAATATCTGATAAAATATAGATTTAATATAGATAATGCTGAGATCACATGACAACCCTGTTCTAGTCCCTGAGCTTTGGGGAGTAAAACGACCTACTTCTGATTAATTAGGTAATGATTGCACTTTTGTGTAATGTGCTGCCTTTCATTTTAGAAAATTAGGGTCAAATTAGTTTCTTAGTATAGAATTCAAGGCTGCCATAGTGTTCACCTCCTCCAGTTGTTACAATTTTTTATCTGGGTCAATCAGTGCATTCAGGAGACTTTTATACATTCATCTAGTGGAAGTTCAAACTGTTCTTGATAGCATAAGCTACTGTTGTCCAGCTGATAAAATAACATTTAGCATTGTTGAACCGAGATAAGATTTGACTGTGCTGACAAACAAGGTCTCCTGCAAACTTCTGATTAAAGTTGGTAGAGCTGTCTCTGGACATTTGTTTCACCAGTGAACAGGAAAGAACGTGCTAGAATAAGACTTAATAGTCTTAAGTCGCTGGAGTATATTTGTAGCAATAGCCAGTTTTACTTTTATGCCAAAAATCATTAGGATATTAAGTAAAGATCATGTTCCATGAAGATATTTTGTAAATGTCCTACTGTAAATATATTAAAACTTAATTTTTGCTTAGTAATATGCATTGCTAAGAACTTAATTTGGACAACTTTAAACGTGATTTTCTCAATAGTTAGATTTTTTTGCAGCCTCAGATTCCAGATTTTCAAATAGTTGTATCTCGGCCAAATATCGTCCTATCCTAAACCATGCATCAATGGGAATCTTATTTATTCAGCTTTCAGATGATGTATAAATCTCAATTTCGAAAAATTTCGAAAAATTTCGAAATGACTGGTTTTGTGGTCCAGGGTCACATATGGGACCATCTCATCCTTACCTTGAAAACACCATCAGTAATGTGCAAAGCAAACAATAACAGACCTTCCCTCTCTTCAGTCTCTCCTTCTTCACCCTCCCCCTTGTGGGTGTTCTTTTTTAACCACACCCATTTCCTTCATTGTGGGAGGAACTCTCTAAGAGCAATGTCACTCCTGCATTCCTGCCAGTGTGCACTGTGCTTCTTGTGGCCTGACTGTAAACCAGGCCAGACTGCTGAGCTGTTTCCATGGTGCTACATCAGAGGCTTAAGAGTCACTGCACGCAGCCAATCAGATGGCTTGTGGGGGAACCGTGTGGGCTGTAGTAGCTAATAGAGTGAGTTTGTGAACTTACTTTTGGTTGGTACAGAAAGGACACCTTTTCCAGAAGAGAACAGGAGAAGAAAACTCATCATTTTCAATGGAATGACGACTGGTTTCTGTTGGCTGCAGTCTCAGAGTGGACATTGTGTCTTTGAAGCTACTGAGTTCAATCACCTCCACTTGTATTGTTATAGACCACTTTCTTTATGTTTTATGGGTGGGAAGTGAGCAAACGACGAGGAAGACTTCACTCTGAAAACAGGGTCAGAAAGAACTAGTTTTTGCCATCTGCTCAGGACGTAACACAAGTTGTTCTGAAAGCTGTAATTCAGTGGCCATGGCAGATAATGTTATTGAGGAGACCGATAACTACCTTGGCAAAGATGAGCTGAACTGGGGCTATGAAGAAGGTAAGGATTCAATGAGAGAATCACTGGCTAATTCTACTCTTTGTGAAACATGAAACTTTATTGTCACACCCATGATCAGGAATTACTATAAAAACAACCCTGTCTCAGTTAGCCTGAAATACGTACTGCAGATTCTTTAAATACACAGACAAAATTAGACAGCTGTGCTGTTTGTGGTCAATAATAACCACTTCAGACATTTTTTTGAATCAGCGCTCTATATTTTTAACTTGTAAAGTGTGTTTAAAATAAATATTTTAAGCATAATTGAATAATGCATGTTTATTATGTGAAAAAAAGCAGAGGGAAAAAGTCATTTAAAATGGTATTTAAACCAAGATTGTTCTTTTTGTGAATAGAGTCATTCATTTATGTCTAACAGCGCTCATCTATAACAGGGGTGTCAAACTCAATTCCTGGAGATCCACAGCCCTGCAGAGTTTAGCTCCAACCCTAATTAAACACACCTGATCTAGTTAATCACGTCTTTCAGGCTTATTTGAAAACTACATGGTTTGTGTGTTGGAGCAGGGTTGGAACAAAACTCTGCAGGGCTGCGGCCCTCCAGGAACTGAGATTGACACCCCTGATCTATAATATAACGTATTCTTTACTAGTGAGATTTTAGATAAAACATATGCATAGTGAATAGTAAAAAAAAAAAAAGAGAGAGAGAGGAGTGAATAATAGATAGGGTGAGATGAAAAGCAGAGAGGGAAAAAATGAGCACATCCTGTATCCCCCTGTGTCATGCTATTCCTGTTGGACCCCTCAGTAATGACTTTGAGACACTGGAGCTCTGGCAGCCTTTATTTAGTTTCAACATCGGGACAAAAAAAATGGACCACTGTTTATTATCTGTGGCTGGGCCAAATATTTTATGTCTATGCACAACTGAATTGACACAAAGTATCATGGTGCAAAAGTTTCAAGGTTGATCAGTGGGTCATGAACAAGGACAGTGTTATCCACTCAAAAGCAAGATAAGTATGCTTTGATAACTGCATTAGAATAAAATGTTATCATCATTATAAGGTTGACTGAATCAACTTTTTTTTTGTCTTTTGTGAATAAATCCAGGTGTTGAATGGGGTCTTCTGTTTCCTGAGGCAAATGGAGAGTACCAGTCCCCCATAAACCTTAACTCTAGGGAGGCCCGCTATGACCCGCGGCTCCTGGAGGTGGGGCTTAACCCCAACTATGTTGTTTGCAGGGACTGTGAAGTCATTAATGAAGGTCACACTGTGAGGATCATGCTCAAGTCCAAATCAGGTATAACATGCTGAAAGTTCTCTCTATGTTTGAATGTAAAGGAATAGTTCACTAAAAATGAAAATGCTGCCATTATTTTCTCCTCTTTATGCCTTGTTTACCAACATGTCATTCAAAATTCTTGTCATTATTTTTTCATTTGAACACCAAAATAGATTTTTTTACTACAGTTGACTACAACTTTCAAGTTCCAAAAGGGACAGAAAAACAACAAAAAGTACCATAAAATCATAAAAGAACGCCATAAGATTTTTTGCCAGTGTCCTAGTCTAAATTCTAGCATTTGACAGGGAATAAACGTTATCAGTGGATGATTGCTACACTCTAAAAATGCTGGGTTATTTTTTCTACCCAACCGCTGGGTATTTTTTGTGTTACCCAGTTGTTGGGTTAGTGGCTGGGTCAATCTCACCGACTGCTGAAACTTTACACCCCTCCCCCTCCCTCCAATAAAACAACCCAGCGAGGGCTTACTACAACCCAGCTGTTGACTTACAGTCAGAGCACAAGCTTTTTGCATCCTCTCCAGGAGAGAGCAGTTCTCAGCATTTTTTAGAGTGTAAAACATCTTAAATCTTACGTTGTTCACACAATATCGTTTGATTACAAAAGACTTATAATAATAATAATAATAATAATATTGCATGAGTCAGGTGCAGGGTTATTATAGTTAACTAAAACTAAAAACATACTTTTTTTTTTTTACTTGAAATAAAGAAAAATGTTAACTGGTGTAAAATAAAATACAAAAAACATAAACTTATTTTATTTCAGCTAGTTTAAAAGGCAGAATTTCTCATTTCCATTTAGTTTAACTTGATGTACTAAAATTACAAACTGAAATAAAAATGAATAAAAACTATATAGACATAAAAGCAACAAAAACCACAAAATTCATTAATTTACAATTAGAGCTTAGAATACAAAAACTGTATCTCAATTATACTAAAAACACTGGTCAGATGGACTAGTTTTATGGTGCTTTTTGGTGATTTTTAAGTTTGACAGGTAATGAGCTACATACATTTTTTTTTTCATGTAAAAAATATCAGATTTATATGTTAGCAACTTCTTGATACTGTAATCTTATTATAGTTGTTTTTACAAATACTGAAGTTTTTCTAATTAAAAAACGGCAAATATCAGGCATTATATCTGCTATGGATTTATCGATTTAATGGTTGCCCACTATTTGGAACATAAGGGTGATTAAAAAAATTTTTTTCATTTTAGGCTGAACTATCTCTTTAACAAAGATCACAAAAGTGGCATCACAAGATGTTTTGTTTTTCTTGGTCACAGAGAGGTTAAATGACATAAATCGGCTGTCTGTGATATACTGGCTATGCACAGTGAGCTTGTTTTATGTAATTTCATCCTGTTCTCTTTCCTGTGACCTTTGTAATCCTGTCTCAGTTGTGACTGGGGGCCCGCTCCCTAGTGACCATGAGTATGAACTGAGCGAGGTGCGCTTCCACTGGGGGAGAGAGAACCAGAGGGGATCTGAACACACTGTCAACTTCAAGGCTTTTCCTATGGAGGTCAGTGTCACTCCGTATCAGCATTTGCTCTTGTTGGTCCTCTCACTTACTCATCCTTTCTGATGTTTGAGGGACAGACTAAAACAAGCCTGCTTCACACCGCACACATAAACAGCACATATTTATTTTGGGGCCTATATTAACAGGTCACAATATCCACACTGCATAAGCCATGCAGGTAACACCAGCACGTCAGCTGCTATATCTATTTGACTTATAAGGAAGGAAGCCTTTTTTAGCTACAAAACCATAAACTGGGACATCAATCCATGTCAAAAACAACAAGACCACATGCTCAAGTGAGGGATTTATCATCAAGTGATCTATTCATATCACCTGTTCCTGACACCTGCTCTCCTGCTCCTGGTCTTCTGTACACAAGGAGAAAGATAAGGACCCATTCTCAACATGTTACCATGTTTGTCAACCTCTTACCATATCGTGTTTCCTCAAGTTGTTGGCACAATTGCGAGTCAAACCAGTCCGAACACGGAATTGGCATAAAAGTATAATCAACTTTATGATTTGGCATACTTTGTATATGTTCATTTCAGAGTTCGGTTTATTGCAGATCACTCAATTAGTAATAAATATCTCTCACAGCTTCATCTAATCCACTGGAACTCCACATTATTCAACAGCGTGGAGGAGGCCATGGGCAAGAAAAAGGGCATTCTCATCATCGCCCTATTTGTGCAGGTATTACATTTGACTTGCCCACATATTGAAGGTCATGACAGATACAGAAGTACCCAATAGGGTTATGTAAATAAACATGGTATCAGTGGTGTAAATATAGAAAGCCTTTCAAGAGAAAGGCTGATTTTTTTTGTCTCTGGTCTTCTTGCAGTATGTCATGCTCAGCTGACATTGGTGCTCTTATTTGTTCTATGCAGATTGGGAAGGAACATCTTGGACTGAAGGCCATCTCAGACGTCCTGCAGGACCTGCAGTATAAGGTGAGTAGAAGAGCTGGCTCACTCGAGACTATAGCCAAAAAGACTATGACTCATACCCTTGTGACCTAAAATGTCTTTTTTATGTGTACAGGGAAAGACAAAAATAATTCCATGTTTTAACCCCAACACATTACTGCCTGGTAAATCATTTATTTTGAATTCATAATCTATTATACTGATAATTGTGTTTTATTTGCATGTTTTGATATTTTATCTTTGCTAACAACATCTTGGTATATGCTAGTTAAAGGTTACCAGAGCCTCCGTTGGTTTGTCTACCTCCTCAGATCCTCTTTTAAGAGATTACTGGGTGTATGAGGGCTCTTTAACCACACCGCCCTGTAGTGAGAACGTCACCTGGATTCTTTACCGTTACCCCCTTACCATCTCTCAGATGCAGGTAACACATCAACAACTATTGTTAAATATTATTATTACTCAAGTATGTATGTAATATAGTATAATAATATAGTGGCCAAAAATGCCTGACCTAGGAAAATGGCTATCTTTGCCCTTTATTCAAACATACTGATGTTATGTAGATTTTCTAAGCAGCTGTGTTTGGAGAGAGTAAAACCTTTGTGTATGCTCTGCATTTCAATCCTCTTATTTGTGATAATGCATAGAAACATGCTTATTGAGGAATGCACAAACAAATACAAGGGAGAGCCAATATCAAAATATTAGTCATATTAATAATTGATTATATTATAGTCAGTGTATACGTCATTTACTGTGAGCTTTTTGTTTTTCTATGCAATTTTTGGCAGTAAAATTTAAAGTAAAATTTAAAAGTAAAACCCGTACTCCATGAGTAGTAGTAGCCTTTTTTTTTTGCCAAATAATTTTGTCAGTTAAATACCTTAACCAAGTTTATTGTTTACCAATATAACATGTTCCTATGCTGATTAATTAAACTTGGAAGTTCACTAAAAGCAAATATTGTCCCCTCCATAAATCACTACTGTGTATAAATTTCACTACTGTGTACTGTGATTTTTCTTTTAATGTTTTTGAGAGTCTCTTATCCTCTTCAGACTGAATTTATTTATCGTAAAAAACAGTAATATTTTATGTTTTATTTTATGTTTAGAAAGAAAAGAACAGCATTTATTTGAAACCAAACCTTTTGTAACTTTATAAATGTCTTTCTGCCATTTTTCAATTCATCAGTTCAATTCGACGTGTCTTTGCTGATTAAAAACATTTCATTCAAATATCAAAATCTTGCTGACCCCAAACCTTTAAAGTAGTGCATAATGTTTCATCATATCTCAGAACACTAATATATATGAATACATAAAACGGGAAATCAGAAACAAACTTGACGTGACTTGAACAGACTGGGGTTTACCACAGTGATATACATCATAAGTTGAAGAACAATATATGCTGTTTGTCTGCAACTGCTTTATCTTTGATCTCAATGACTGGCAGAGCAGGGGTACTTTCAAGTAAAGGCCAGTCATATATTGACTATGAGGTCAAACATGAAAGCAGGTCAGGGTCTTGTCTGTGTTTGATGACTATAATAAAATTTTTGATATAAATTGTTTCCTTCTTGGATTAAGTCAAAATGCAACACTGATATGTTATCCCCTACTTATATAGTGTATGACCCTGCTTATGTTATGACTTCGAATAAACACTTCAGACTATTATAATAAGAAGTTACAATGGATAAATAATAGCAAAAAGAGGAGAAAATAGACAAGAAAATACTCTTGCTTCATCATGTTTCCAAAAAAGATCACACACAGGGTCCACATTCAACACTCACCCATGAGTAAGTAAAAGAATGGAGTTACTTACCAGTTTTCTGCCCTGTTTGTCAAGTCAAGTCAAATTTATTTATATAGCACTTTTCACAAAACACATTCAAAGCAGCTTCACAGAAAGTCAAAATGTTAATGTTTATAATATCTTAACTTTATGCCTTGTAGTCACATTTAGCAGATTAGGGCTGGTCGAAAATGTAGTTTACATTTTGCGACAATACAAGCAGCTGAGATTTGCTATATATCGCTTTTATGTGAGTATACTGTATGTATGCGAATAATGTTGGACATAAGAGCTGGGTGATAATATAGTTACATTTTGCAAGGAAATAAAAAACAGGTAGTTGAGATTTGCTATATCATATACATCAGTTTATATGAATGTGTGTGTGTGTTTGTATAAATTTATATAGAGTAGCTATACTGTATATATGCAAGTTAAGTAGCATGTACTATAAAACTTTATGATATACTGTTAGGTAACAATGTAATTTACATTTTTCTATGGTATATCAATCAAGCAGTTGAGGTTTCCTATATAGTACCTACACTGCTATTTAATGTGAGTCTACTGTATGTATCTAAACAAGGTTGAATATACTAGTTATACAATTAATTATTAATGATTAATTTGTTCATTTACTTGAGTTTAATTCATCTTTGTTCCAAAAATGGACAAACATATTGTAATAAATATACAGTAATGCAAAATAAATGTAATAAATGGTAATAAATTATTACCATTTAATAAATAAATATAATAAATTAAATTTCTAAATTTTTCCATCAATGCACACTGTGGAAAGAGTAAATTTTGGCTCACATCTAACCCACCCACTACTGTATGGAAAAACGAGGTCAGACAGTACACAGGTGAATGCTGGCCTTCTTTCAACTAACATTCAACACTTTTCTCTGCCCCAGATTGAGGAGTTTCGTCGTCTCAGGTCCCATATTAAAGGAGCAGAGCTTCTAGAAGGCAATGATGGGATGCTGGGGGACAACTTCAGACCCACCCAGCCCCTGAGCGACAGGGTGGTCAGGGCAGCCTTCCAGTAAAGCCCCCACTGCAGGATCCATTTTTAATCTACCATGGGTAAATTTTCAGGAGATTGTATTCTGTTCTTTGTTTATTCAAGAGGAGCACCCTCATTTGAGCATAATGTGATGGCTTATGTATGGCTTTGGCTCCTCTTTGTAAAGGAGGAGTTAGATTAGGCTCTTCACATTAGCTGATTAAATGCCTCATTGTCTGTGTTGCAACAAGAGCCCACCTGGATTTTCCAAATACAAAACTGCTAGCACTTCCAAAATTAAACAAAACTGAAGATTCATCTCCATGCGACCATTATTCTGACCAATAACTGTACAAAAGCTCTTGCTTAGTGTGCGGTGGCTTAATGGAAATAGGCCAAGTTCTCTTAGCAGTATTAGCATCACTATATACAATAGAGTGCTGCAAAGGTTAGAGTAATAGAGTAACCTACTTCCTTGATCTAGGACTAGCTGCAGCATTGTGTATGGATCTGTCTATTTCTAGAGCTCTCAGGGGGACGCCTCTGCCTGCATATTACTCATTTTGAAATGAGACTTTGAGCAGACTAATTTAGGCCATGATGATGCAGTGCTACTAAAAGACTCTGATGATGTAAGCTAAAGTAATACTTTGGCACTACTCTGTTTATATACTACACTTCTGTTAACCCATTTGCGCAAACCCAAATTTTTCTGATTTGTTTCATGCATATAGTCATGTTAATAGTGTCCTATGTGAACATGTTCTGCGTTTATTTTCCCCAGGTTTTTTTTCTTTTCTTGAAAATCGTATTTGAATGTGCGGCAACTATAGTTGCCGGTGGGCAAATATGTTGTATGCACCCCTTCAATGTCAAATCTGAATAGGAGGAGAGCATTTGGCATCTAATTCAAAATAACTGCTTTCAACAGGTCAGTCTTTATTCATAAACAAATTTATTATGCATAAAAGTCGAAGAACATTCGATGCAAACCCCCAAAAAGTTGCATCTAGCTTATAATCTCTTGAATATGAAAACACAACAAATCCATTTGTCTTAAAGTGCAGAACAAAGTGCAGCCATTAAGTTGCCCCAACGGGGTATTGTGTATCAAAAAGTTAAATGAAAATAAATAAATAGAAATAAATAAAATTAAGAAATAATCTATATAATAATATATACATTATTACATCTAATATATAATATATACATTATTACATACATATTAAATTAATACATCTATATAATATAAAAGGTATACCTGAAAGAAAATTCCACATTTAACTGTTTGGTTACCAACATTCTGCAAAATATCTTCTTTTGTGCTCAACAGAAGAAAGAATCTCATAGGTTTGCAACTTGAGGGTGACTAAATGATGACACAATTTCCATTTTTGGGTGAACTTTCCCTTATGTAAGCAGTTTTAGTATAAGTAGCCTCTAAGTAGCCTACAAGGAGTACTGCAGTGAAGGTACAAGTAGTTTTTTTTACATTTACATAAACATTTTTGCATACTATACTTTGTGATGTAAATATGTAAAATAATCACATATTTTATGAATAGGCACATATTGATTAGGTCAAATGGATTAACCTTGACAAAAGTCCTTGATATTCATGAAATTAATGATATTCTTTTTAAAATATATGATTATTTAAATAATTATCATGTGTAGGCTACACCCATGATTGTTTGTTTATTTATTTGCTTATTATTGAACATACAGGTATTTTCATTCTTAGAGGTGTGTTAGTTAAATGAAAATACATAGAAAAATAAATAGAATGAAGAAAATATTACATCTATATAATAAAAAAGGTAAGAAAATTGCACATTTTTTAGGCCCATAGTATTCAATGGCTGACTAGTAGGTGATTTCATATAATAATGTAAATATAAACTAACACAGACACAGAAGTGGGGCAGTATAGCTGTGGAAAGATTGCTCTCTCATCTCCTCCTTTTGACAGATTTATTCCCTATCAAATTAAGGTCTACTGTACAGTAGTGATGTCAGTTAAAGGGTTAAGTTATGTTTTAGGTTGGATATTATGAAAGCGAAAAGCACTAAATAAGACCAATAACCTTGATGTATTAACCTATTAACATAGTATACCCCATTTGCCCATATGTACTTACAATTCATTTGCCCACCAGTACACAAAAACCTATAGTTCCCTTTCAGTCGGTCACTCTCGACGTCACGTCGGATGACCGACGAATTGGGATATCGCTTAGAGAGACCAATCTACTTCGAGTGTAAACTAAACGAGCCAATGCACATTGGCATGCGATTATTGCATCCAGCTGCCGCTGATCACAGCGTGAGTATAAGTAGGCAGCAGATGCAGCCCATATTCAGCTTTTCGCTTCGGAGCCGAGCGATCACATCGTTCTGCTCCTGACTACTCTACTGAGACAAGAAGACTGAACGAGTTCAGCACGCTCTTGGAGAGCTCTTCGTGTTGGCGGTACGGCGCTTCAGCGGTGGTGGTTTCCCCTGCCGAGTGGGTTGCACACATCAGGCTGCACTACCCCCTGTTTGTGTCGCAGATGATCATCTCCCCTGTGCGCCTCAGCACGCTAAAAGAGCTATTTCCCTAAAAGAGCAATTACGGGTG